AGAAAACTTCTTACACACTTAACACACTCACATACTATAAGACTATCTAAATTTGACTCCCTTACCGTTTATAATTAATCCATATTTATAGAGCTTTAAAAATGACCAAGGGTTGCTTAAAAAATTTCTTTAAAATTTGGCCTCATTCAATGAATCTTCTAGAAAGTAACTGTGGCACCTAGGCGCCCAACCGTCATGCCTAGGTGTCAGCTAAGGTCTGCATTTAGCGCTTAGGCGCTAGTTTTGCTGGGTTGGTACTTTTCTTCTATTTGGCCCATTTTTACTCCTTTTGTATGTATCTTTTCTTCTTTTTACTCATACACTCTTTTTTTTATACCTTCAACCAAAAACATAAAAATACCTTCATTAAAACATAATATCCTAAATAATTCAGCATAAATTATACATAAAAAATAGGTAACTTTATGGTGAATCAACGCTGCCTTCCACGTCAACTACCACATGGGCCGCTCTTTATGAAACATTTCCTCGTTTGACTCCTTTGCCATTGAATTGATACACGCGTGAATGCACGACATCCATTCATTGTCCCCATATGTTCAAAACTGAGAACTGCTCGTACTAAAATGCTTCAATCTTGCTCGATACTCAACCAAATCACTCGTGATTTGTTGATATAGCTTCATCTAATCAAGATAAACACATCCATATGGCTAGATACATTTGAAATTAACATTCTCTTCATAATTTATGAATCTGAGCACGATTTTAGGGCTTGTGATCTATAATTTAGCCCAAGAGGTGAGGCCTCAATTGGGTTAGTTTTAGCAGTTTGTTTTGACTCCAAGAAGCTCCTCCAAGCACTAATTTGAGCTGCGGTTGAGCCTAGGATTGAGTTCAATCAAGGGGGTAATGCAAACCTGGTTCTAGAAGTGGGTTAGAGTGCTCAATAGAGGGGGGTATTGATGGGAAAGTTTCTCATTTGGCCTAAGGAAGCTTTTGGGTGGTTTAATTTGAGCTTTGGTGGATTTTAATGGAGTGATAGAAAAGTTCTAATTTCTAAACTCAAAATTGAGCTCTGATAGTGAGTTTCAATGGGGGAAAATAGTTAGATTGGTCTTAGTAAGTCTAAGGGAAGCTCTGTGAGCAATTTAAAGGCCTCTCCCTAAGCAAATGAAATCACCCTCCTCTTAGCCATAAGGGGGAATTTAAATAGAGGGGGATCGAGGGCTTAATTGTCCAAGTGAGGGGGTGGAGAAGGGAGCATAAGTGTAGAACTAAACGACTCTAATGACCGATGGGGTTGAGCCACATTGGATGGGTGTAATGGGGTTCAAACCAAGGGGAAGTCTCTCTCCGTTTTGGGTTTTCTAACCACTAAATCGATCGACCAGGCCAAGGGAGGTGGCTAGCTAGCTGAGGGAACCAGGAGGAGGTTTAATGGTGATTAGGATTGGGGTTTGATCACTTTAGCTCAAGCATTGATCACTTGACCAAAAATGAGAAGGAATCCCACAAATCATGGGATCCTTGGACCATGGCACCTCTAGGGTGTGCTAAGAGCATTTAGGGTGGTTCTTAGGCTCCAATTGGCAGCTAAGGTGGTTCAAGGTGGGTTAAAACATGTGGCTCCAAGTGAGTTTATGGTTTAGGTTCTAAATTAGGTATTTGGCTTGGACTTGGGTTTGGACCTAGAAAGAGCTTTGGTCTAGCCCAATTGAATGATCAAATTTGTGTGGGACATTGTTATAAAGCTTTTGAGAACCAATTGGGTTGAATATTGAGTGGTTATGAAGTTTAATTTCGAGGAATTTGGACTTTGGGGTAAAATTGAGGATTTTGACTTGAGTTAAATTTGGGTTAGGCTTGAGGCTAAGTTAAGGCCAATTGAAGCTATCATTTGTTCTAGAAGGATGTTATGAAGAATTTGGAATCAATAATTGAGAAAATTGGATAGGTTAGGGGGTTTAATTTTATGGAAATTTGGCTTAAGGTCAAATTGGGGGTTAAAATTGGGCTTGAAATTTGGGTTTGGAATTGAGTTCAATTGGACTTGAATTTGGTTTCAATTGGGTTTAAACATGATAAATTTGAGTTTAGATTTAAAATTGGGGAATTTTGAAATTAATTTGATGGAAATTTGGGGTGATTTAAGGTAATTGGGCCTTAAAGAACAAAATTTGGGTTTGGGTCAAAATTGGTCAAATTGGACTTCATGAGTGGTCAAGAATGGTTTTGGAAGTGTTTGAAACAATTTTGGAGATTTTGGAAAAATTTGGGCCACCAAAGGCATTTTGGTAATTTTGGGGGTATTTTGGGAATTTTGAAAAATTGTGGGTGTTTTAGGCAATTTGGATAGTTTGAAATGGTTTGAAATGATTTTGGATAAAATTGGATAATTTGGGAAATTTTTGAAAATTTAGGGTTTCAGAGTCAATTTGATAAATTTGGGAAAGTCTGGGGGCAAAAGGCCAAAATTAGGTATTTGGATAAAATGTGATCAATTAAAGCTGCTAGTCATAAAATTACCCTTATATTGCCATGAGACCCATATGTTGGTCTTAAATAAACCCTAGTCTAGGGCAAAGGTTTGGGGGACCATTCACATTAGTTTCCAAGTGAATGGAGGAACCAGGCTAAGTAGGAGTAGGTTAGGGTTGAGGTTGTGAGTGGAGGCGAGGGGTTCAAGTGTTTGTGTGCATGACTGACCAAAGCCACACAACCCAAGGTTAACCCTAAGGCCAAACAATCCTATGGGGACTCTCCTTGAGTTCCCTCATATTGGCTTCATCTACTCAGTGCTAGAAGTTAGAACTACAGGTGGAACTTCAAGATAAGCAGAGAAGAGTTTTAGAATTTCTAATAGTGAGGGTTCCATGACTAGTCCTCTAAGATAGTCAATAGAAAAGTCATATGGCTAGATCCTACGCTTCTGAAGAGGAGACTAGACTTCAACCAAAAATGACGTTAACGGGATCAAATATCTAAGTGTAGTGTAGAATAACTAACACTTCAGTGTGTCAGAGTTTTTGAGAAGGAAGATGGACAACTCAAAAGAAGCTATGTGGTCGGCTGGATTGTGATGACCTTGTAGGGTTCCAAAGTTCAAACTTTGAAATTCTCTAGGTGCTCAAAATTGGAGTTTTGCAGTGAGAACACATTCTTTCACTAACAGTAGACCTGCACTCACCCAAGTCATGGACACTCGATGCAAACACAGCACTATCCTGATGGTCACACTCTTCAATTCTTTCTACTCCTGAGTCTTTCATTAGCTTGGGGATCAAGTTCTTTCCGAGGATTTGGTTCTTCGGGAGCATGCACTCTTCCTTCAAGATGCATGTTGGTCAATTCTAACATCTATCTCACCATTTAATCTTGGAGGTCCTAAATCTATTGTTGCATAAATTCTCTCATGTACTCCATGTTTGAGGTTTCTTACTGATGAGTTCCATCTATATGAAATGCTCCTCTTCTTATTGATGGCATGATTCCATACTCACCATACATTTTAGAATGTTGAATTTAATTGTCCTATAGATTACACCCAAAGTATAGAGCATTGGACGAAAGAGAAGAATAGAAAGAGAGAGAGAGAGAGAGAGGAGGGGAAATAGAGCTCACAGTAGCACCAATTTAGATAGTGTAGATTTAGTGGTCCTTTATTAAAGAAATGACCCCATATTTATAAGTTCTAGGGGTATCAAGTAACATTGCATGTTTGTCCTTATTTAAAAAGAACATTACAAGTCATTATTAAACCTTTTCATATTTACAACCGACTCTAGAACCCTTTAATATTCATAACTGACATTTAAATTATTTGATAATCATAACTGTTTGAGGTAGGGCATTTAATGGTTTGTTGGTGTTGTCATTGGGTCCTTTATGAATCAATGGGTCGGTTGAAAGGTCTACAGTTGATTGCAAGACCTTCGATTGCCCTTCTAAAGAGAATCTTAGTATAGGCCTCTTGTCATTAGTGTGAACTTGGACTAATCAAGCAGATGGTGAATCACCGTATTCTGACGGACAAATCTCCTTGGACAAGGGGCCTTCTTCAGAGGATCATAATGATATTCCGCGAGGGACCCTTTAACCATCTTTATGAAAAGTTTAGAAATCATTTGAGAGAGCTGGTTATGAATGAGTGTCCCACAGATTTGATGCCACATATTCTTTCATTCGGGTTGTGCTTCCGTTTAGTCCACAAATAGTTACGACCAAAGAAAACGACACTTGACGCTTTTGTTTTTTGACAAACCGAGTGCAATCATTTTTTGTTTTTAAGCAAGGCCCATTGCATTTCTCAAGATTTGTACAATCAAAGTACAATTAACTTGTTTTTAAAAATATTCAACACATCCAAAAAATTATTTTGATAATTTTTAAAAAGAGCAAAACATATCATAAATTATTAAACAAGTTTTATTTTAAAAAATAAACATAGATATTATAAAATAAAATGAAAAATAAAAGTGACTTTTTCAAAATAAATAAATAAATAAATAAAGTGACTCCAACAACCTTCGTGATTCATAAATCAATTGCCAATTATGAGTACCATCTCCATCCACCTTGTACTGCCATAACCTTTTCAGAAAATAGAATTTAGGTGTACACTGTATCTTGCTTTTGTATAAAAGTTTACCCCATCATTTTACTCATCAAGAACTTCTCATTTGAAGTTATTTGTCTTGAAATATATCATCGATCCTATGCATAGTTTATTAAAAATAAATGATTAGTTTTTACTGCTTTAAAAAACTATAAAATGCATTGACAGTTGGACCAGTAATGACTTAAATATACGCTAAAAGCCTCATTAATTAATCCGTGTAAAGTTTTTTTTTCTCATCCTAAAACATACACAGAGGACCATATAATCTAAATACATGCCCAGGTTAGATAGCATATATTAGTTCGAGAAATCACGTCCAAAACTATATATAGTCAGGACAAAACAAAAATTAAATATACAAAAATTTATTTTCAATTGTAGCACTCCCGGAATCATAATAAATTAAAAGAAAGAGTGAAAATCCATTCAAAATTTGCATTAATTCCCGACATAAATAGAAGATAAATTCTTATACATGATTACAGAGAGTTTATTCATGATGGGGGGTAATTCTGCGTCACATCAATCCAATGGCTCTATCCTTTCACAAATTTCTCCGCTTTAGTATTAGTCTCCGGACCACCAGCTCTAGTACTTTCCAGGCCTTCATTATTCATCAGTTCCCATATCACATTACTCATCTCCCCCATCTCCTCTCCACAAGGTTCAAACTCAGCCGCACCTTCCTCTGCACTACAACTAACTGATTCGTTCTCGGACCCAAGCAAAGTCTCCATTTCCCAAACTATTTGGAGTTCTTCAGCCGTTTGCAAGGTCTCTGAACGCTTCTTCTTGCTTCGGCTTCTAAGTACAAGCTGCTGAATAAAAAAAGGGTTTCTAAGAGCTCTTGCCATGAACGACAATGTATTCTTTTGCATGCGTTCACTGCCTTCTATGCGTTCCTCCATAGCCATTAGCTGTGCCTGAGAATTCTTGTGCTGTTCTCTGAGCTTCGCAATCTCAGCAATGAAAGTCTTACGATCTCTTCTCAACCTATTAACTTCGAACTCAACACCAAACTGTTCTGCTTCAACGCAGGGCGTTCCAGTTACTTGACTCCATTGATCAAAGCGAGCTCCTGATGGATTCTGGTGCTGTGATGTTTGGCCAACGTTTCGACGCCTCTTGATTTCATTCAAAAGATGTTTCTGGCCTCTTAAAAATTTCTCATTTGCGAATTCCCATCGATCTGGATCGACTTTTCGGAAGCCCTGCAGTTGGCCACATTTGTCAGCACCCTACAGGTTATTTAATTGGGAGGATGATTGTTTTCTTTGTTCCAGGAGGCAGTGGAGTGATCTGGAAACGGTACGGCTAGCCTCTAGAGAATACTATTAGCATATAAGAATCTAATAATTATAAGGCAACGTATTTTGTAATTACAATGGTTAGAAGGTATAAGAAAATATGTTACCAATATATGCAACTTTTATTATTTGTTTTCCGTAATAATGTGATTTACCAGTCTTTTTTTAATTTTAAAAAATTAGCGCGCACACACAGATAGATAGATAGATAGATAGATAGATAGATAGATAGATATATAT